GTATGTGATTGTTTTGAAGGCTATATAACCTATATGTGATTGAAACACTGCTTGTTCTAAAGGCTATCTAGTGGCTATTGAAAACGGCTTGCTCTAAAAGCTGTTAGTTGCTATTGGAAACGGTTGTTTTACTTTTAAGGTTATTTAGCCCAGTTGTTTTTTGGAACATGACTGTGTTTTGGGCTTATATTTGGTGTCATTATGACATGCTGTGCTAAGCTTATCAGGTATCAGAAATATGCTGTTGTTTCAGCTACATTGCTATCAGTACTGTACAGTGGTTGCTTGTGCAAATGTTATCGAATATATGCTCATTACTTAGGCTTCTAGTATTATTGCGCATACTGTCCGAAGCAACATGCTGTGGTAATCCAGTGTTGTTTTAGGCTTATCTGGTAGCATTGGAAAAATGCTCGCTCTTTATTCTATCTGATTATTGCAACATGCTGTGTGAAAGTTAGCACATGCTTGTGGCTAAAGCTATCTAGATTATTGGTAACATACTTATGCAAAATACACAGTAGGTACATTCACCGCAGAGGTCTGTTATTCAACACTAACAACATTGTAGCTTGATGGTCCTGTGAAGGAGTGTGGAATCATGGGAGTCGTCATCTTCACCTCCACAGCCGATGGAATCAGTACGAAGGGAGCAGAAATCATGTTCATGAATGAGGAAGCACACTGTATTCATAGCTTAGCTGCGCACTGCATCTGACTCAGAGCTACAGGGTGTATGCGTCCCCTACCAAACTAAGCTAGTTTTAGCAATGGTTCTGTGATTAGACAACATGCTTGTTGTATCAGATTTTGCTGCCGCTAGGGGTGTAAGCTTCCCCCAATAGATCCCATACAATTGTTAAATTGGCTACAGCAACACGCTTGTTGCAATGTGTCCTTGCTTGCTCCAGCTGGGGTGGTGCTCAACAGATGCCGCTAACATCACATAACTATCAGCCTCAGTCGTGTTGAGGGTAGTGTGTAAAAAAAAAATCAAAATCAAATTAAAAACAAAAAAAATAACATTTTCTTGGTTTCTACAGAAGTAAACTCAACCAAGTATAACAAGGTTATGACATTATTGACAGGTCACAGTGTATGCAGTGTATGCATATTTGTGCCTAAATATATCTAAGTATCAGCATCACGCTTGTTGCATTTAACCATCCAGCTGTATTAATGACATCTGTTGCTTAATTCTGCATGAACTGGAAGTTTCCACCAACATTACTCAGTATTGTGACGTATTTCCAATGAAAAGGATAATTGAAAAGGAAATCTCCATTTCTCATCTCTTGCTTACAGTCGTCACTCATAAGAAACTGGAACTGGACTGGGGATATACAACTACAAGCAAGCAGCTGATTCATTTTGATATCTCCATTTTCACTTCTTCATTTCAGACGGCATGTCATTCATTCATTCATCATGTTTACTGCTCAAACATTTCAGGTATTGACAACAATGCTTGTTACTATGGCTGATGCAGGAATTGGCAACATAGTCATTTAGGTCATCCAGGTAAAGGCAACATGCTTGTTGCTTAAGGCTTTCCGGTATTGTTGGTAACACGCTGTTGCTCAAGCTTTTCAGGTATTGGCAACATGCTTGTTGCCCTTGGCTCACTCAGGTAACTGCAAAAAAAAAAAAAAAAAAACATGCAGAATTGCGCTGTCAGTTTGGGTTTGGGGGATATTTGCATATGGGTTTGTTTTGGGTGGTTATTGCTGTTCTTATTCATGCTAGGCTGCATGGATGCGCAGGGAGTTCTTGCCCAGAACAGAACCATACCGCCAATCCAAACTGTATGTTAATTTTCAATCATATTTGACGATAGTGGTCCTGACAGAAATGCGTGTAGTTTGTTTCAGACTCATTAAAAAATGCAGAGAATCCAATTAGCATGCTGTACTTTTTTCTTTTTTTTTTACTATTTCAGCAGTATATGGTATTTGAATATCGCTTGACATTCATTTTCCAAATTGAGGAATGAAGTGGATGTGCTATCAGCTGTGATAGGACTGGCAAAAACACAGACATTTTTACTGGATTAAAAAATATATCTTTTGAGAAGACAACTGGCCACCACTCACTGGATTAAACAAACAGCGTGAAATGAATGCAGAAGAACGAGTGGAAGATCTGCTGCTGACAGAGAAATGAGATCGTTCATGACTTTGGGTTTCCTCTTTGATTTCTCATCACTTTCTCATTTGTGTATTGTATTGATTTCTCATCACTGTTGGATCACCAGTTTTACGCCACTGAGTTGTGCTGATCTGATGAAGGAAAGAGGTTTGAACACAAAGGGCCATGATTAGACCGACCACCATTCTGCTTTGCCCTTCAGGATTTTTAGCATGCATTCAGCTGAAATAAAACAATCCAGCTCAGGCCCTGTGAGGTTCTGACAGACCGATATCTGCATCTGTCTCGGGACGCTCTGACAGAATGTAGGTCTCACTGGCCCCTTGAAACATGTCCTCTACAACTATCCGCAGGTCTCTGACTGCCTTTTAAAAGTCAAGATACAGAGAGTAAAATATTTTTTTTTAATCACACCAATCTCAAAACAGTTTTAAATGACTTCTCCCTATGGAAGAAATGGTGTAAACCAGGGCTTTTAAAATCATTCCTGGAGCCATTGTGGACGTCTTTCTTATCGGACGCATCCAGCTTCAGTGTCACCGATGTACTCATTACATCATAAGAAGAATGGCATCTACACTAATAGTAGTCTCTCTGTTTGTCCCGATGTTTACTGTTGTCAGCCGGCTCTGGGCCGTATCCAGATCAAATGGAGGACCTGCACCTAGACACGACCACAACGCATGATGTAGTCAGCCGGATCCGGGCCGTATCCAGATCAGATGGTGGACCTGCACCTAGACACGACCACAACGCATGATGTAGTCAGCCGGATCCGGGCCGTATCCAGATCAAATGGAGGACCTGCACCTAGACACGACCACAACGCATGATGTAGTCAGCCGGATCCGGGCCGTATCCAGATCAGATGGAGGACCTGCGCCTAGACACGACCACAACACATGATGTAGTCAGCCGGATCCGGGCCGTATCCAGATCAGATGGAGGACCTGCGCCTAGACACGACCACAACACATGATGTAGTCAGCCGGATCCGGGCCGTATCCAGATCAGATGGAGGACCTGCGCCTAGACACGCCCACAACGCATGATGTAGTCAGCCGGATCCGGGCCGTATCCAGATCAGATGGAGGACCAGCGCCTAGACACGACCACAACGCATGATGTAGTCAGCCGGATCCGGGCCGTATCCAGATCTGGTGGAGGACCTGCGCCTAGACACGACCACAACGCATGATGTAGTCAGCCGGATCCGGGCCGTATCCAGATCAGATGGTGGACCTGCACCTAGACACGACCACAACACATGATGTAGTCAGCCGGATCCGGGCCGGATCCAGATCAGATGGAGGACCTGCGCCTAGACACGACCACAACGCATGATGTAGTCAGCCGGATCCGGGCCGTATCCAGATCAGGTGGAGGACCTGCGCCTAGACACGACCACAACGCATGATGTAGTCAGCCGGATCCGGGCCGTATCCAGATCAGATGGTGGACCTGCACCTAGACACAACCACAACGCATGATGTAGTCAGCCGGATCCGGGCCGTATCCAGATCAGATGGAGGACCTGCGCCTAGACACGACCACAACGCATGATGTAGTCAGCTGGATCCAGGCCGTATCCAGATCAGATGGAGGACCTGCGCCTAGACACGACCACAACGCATGATGTAGTCAGCTGGATCCAGGCCGTATCCAGATCAGATGGAGGACCTGCGCCTAGACACGACCACAACACAAGATGTAGTCAGCCGGATCCGGGCCGTATCCAGATCAGATGGAGGACCTGCGCCTAGACACGACCACAACGCATGATATAGTCAGCCGGATCCAGGCCGTATCCAGATCAGATTGAGGACCTGCGCCTAGACACGACCACAACACATGATGTAGTCAGCCGGATCCGGGCCGTATCCAGATCAGATGGTGGACCTGTGCCTAGACACAACCACAACGCATGATGAAGTCAGCCGGATCCAGGCCGTATCCATATCAGATGGAGGACCTGCGCCTAGACACGACCACAACACATGATGTAGTCAGCCGGATCCGGGCCGTATCCAGATCAGATGGAGGACCTGCGCCTAGACATGACCACAACGCATGATGTAGTCAGCCGGATCCGGGTCGGATCCAGATCAGATGGAGGACCTGCGCCTAGACATGACCACAACGCATGATGTAGTCAGCCGGATCCGGGCCGTATCCAGATCAGATGGAGGACCTGCGCCTAGACATGACCACAACACATGATGTAGTCAGCCTGATCCGGGCCGTATCCAGATCAGATGGAGGACCTGCGCCTAGACATGACCACAACACATGATGTAGTCAGCCGGATCCGGGCCGTATCCAGATCAGAAACCACCTTTTTCTTTGTTGCATTATTTGGCGGCAGTCGCAGGAACCAGACCTCTATCAGTGACAGAATGGAGAGAAAACCTTGGGAGAAACCAGGCTCAGTCGCTCAGTTCTCCTCTGGCCAACGAACGAACAGTGTATGATTGTGATGTTTCTCCAGACAGATATGGAGCTGTTGACTGACTTCTGCTTCTCATGTTCACCTGTTCTTCGGAAGAGTGGAAATGGCGCTAATAACCTTTCCTGCGTTTCACCCGCGGCTGATCATCTGGATTCCTGCTAGTGTCTCTATATCTACTCGATGTCCATTATTGCCACTCTGATTCAAGAGCCATATATTATCATTTGAGCAGAAAGCCACATTTATGTGAGACAAACTCATGTCACTTCAAGAATAAATGCTATTGTTACACATCTTTTATTCTAAAACTTGCTAATTAACTATATGATTATTTCATAATAGAGCCCTCGTACATGTCCTGTTGGATGTCTTGTTTGGCATGCTAGTGTATTGGTTCACTTACGCTCAGGAGTAACGGACGGTTCTCTTTGACCGCACCCACACACCCCAGACAGCCAATCACCATGATGATGCTTCCCGCAGCGATGAGCAGATTAGCGGCCGAGAGCGACGGAAGGGAGGATGAGAGGGTGGCGAAGTTTCCCTGGGTGATGGAAAGCCAAACTCCCACTCCGAGAATCCCACAGCCGCCCAGCTGAGAGGGGGAGAGAGAGAGAGAGAGGGGGGGGGAGAGAGAGAGAGAGAGAGAGAGAGCGAGGGGGGGGAGGGGGAGAGAGAGAGAGAGGGGGGGGAGAGAGAGAGAGAGAGGGGGAGAGAGAGAGAGAGAGGGGGAGAGAGAGAGAGAGGGGGGGGGGAGAGAGAGAGGGAGAGAGAGAGAGCGTGTAAAACAACACTGAGCTGACGGAAAAGTGCACAGACAAAACTACATTTGATATACAACTGGCATAAATTTGTTTTAGTGCCACTAATTTTAAAAAGTATTTCAATGCATTGTGTCACATGATTAAATAGGGCCTGTTCTGTCTCCACATGTGAGACACAGATGTGCATGTATGTATAAAACTATCATTATAATGCAGTCTGCCAGTCTCTCAAGGGTAAACACAGCCAAGACAATGCAACATTACGGGCCCTATTTTAACTGAAAAGCAATTATCAAACGCGAAACGCAAGTAACTTTGTGGGCAGATCTCGGCGGGATAAATGACTCTTGCACCCGACGCTAATCTAAAATGAGTTGGTCTGAAGTCGCTACATTACTCAGGTGTGGTTTGGGCGTAACGTGCAATAAACCAATCAGAGCGTCATCTCACATTCCCTTTAAGAGCAGGAACGCTTTTGCCATGGCGGATTGCTATTATAACGGCAGATTTGCCCGTCGCACGCAGGAGCGGTTCACAGCCGAGGAGACCGGCGTTCTCGTCAGGGCCGTAAAGACAGAGAAGTGGCATTGTATGGGGACGGGAGAAACCCACCCAAATTAGCTTCGGTTAAACAGGCGTATAATAATTTGGGTAAATGTGTAAGCTAGATTTATGCCTATTTTTTCACATCTTCATGGACACCACAATGATTTACCTCGTGTGGTAATATTTTCCCTTGTAATTATGTATGGTTTGCAAAAATGGGAACTGCTGTGTCTGTGTATGAGAGAAGGGAAGTGTATGCTGTTGTGCTCACGCTACATCATGGCCAAGCATGCGCCCTTAACATATCATCTGAATAACGCGCCGCTGACTTTAGACTGGGCTTTTCCTGGTCTGTCGCGGAAGTGTTTTCTGGAACTGTAAAACAGCACCAGGAACGTTTGCGCCGGAACACGCCTCCTCATTCCCTGAACCGCCCCGGGAGCGCAAGTTCATTCCCTAGTTTACCGACGTGCGTCTGTGGAGGGAAGAGTCCGCCGTGCGTCTGTGGAGGGAAGAGTCCGCCGTGCATCTGTAGAGGGAAGGGTCCGCCGTGCGTCTGTGGAGGGAAGGGTCCGCCGTGCGTCTGTGGAGGGAAGAGTCCGCCGTGCGTCTGTGGAGGGAAGAGTCCGCCGTGCGTCTGTGGAGGGAAAAGTCCGCCGTGCGTCTGTGGAGGGAAGAGTCCGCCGTGCGTCTGTGGAGGGAAGAGTCCGCCGTGCGTCTGTGCAGGGAAGAGTCCGCCGTGCGTCTCTGGAGGGAAGAGTCCGCCGTGTGTCTGTGGAGGGAAGGGACCGCCGTGCGTCTGTGGAGGGAAGAGTCCGCCGTGCGTCTCTGGAGGGAAGGGTCCGCCGTGCGTCTCTGGAGGGAAGGGTCCGCCGTGCGTCTGTGGAGGGAAGAGTCCGCCGTGCGTCTGTGGAGGGAAGAGTCCGCCGTGCGTCTGTGGAGGGAAGAGTCCGCCGTGCGTCTGTGGAGGGAAGGGTCCGCCGTGCCTCTGTAGAGGGAAGAGTCCGCCGTGCGTCTGTAAAGGGAAGGGTCCGCCGTGCGTCTGTGGAGGGAAGAGTCCGCCGTGCGTCTGTAGAGGGAAGGGTCCGCCGTGCGTCTGTGGAGGGAAGAGTCCGCCGTGCGTCTGTGGAGGGAAGAGTCCGCCGTGCGTCTGTGGAGGGAAGAGTCCGCCGTGCGTCTGTGGAGGGAAGAGTCCGCCGTGCGTCTGTAGAGGGAAGGGTCCGCCGTGCGTCTGTGGAGGGAAGAGTCCGCCGTGCGTCTGTGGAGGGAAGAGTCCGCCGTGCGTCTGTGGAGGGAAGAGTCCGCCGTGCGTCTGTGGAGGGAAGAGTCCGCCGTGCGTCTGTGGAGGGAAGAGTCCGCCGTGCGTCTGTGGAGGGAAGAGTCCGCCGTGCGTCTGTGGAGGGAAGAGTCCGCCGTGCGTCTGTGGAGGGAAGAGTCCGCCGTGCGTCTGTGGAGGGAAGAGTCCGCCGTGCGTCTGTGGAGGGAAGAGTCCGCCGTGCGTCTGTGGAGGGAAGAGTCCGCCGTGCGTCTGTGGAGGGAAGAGTCCGTCGTGCGTCTCTGGAGGGAAGAGTCCGCCGTGCGTCTCTGGAGGGAAGAGTCCGCCGTGCGTCTGTGGAGGGAAGGGTCCCCCGTGCGTCTGTGGAGGGAAGAGTCCGCCGTGCGTCTGTGGAGGGAAGGGTCTGCCGTGCCTCTGTAGAGGGAAGAGTCCGCCGTTCGTCTGTAAAGGGAAGGGTCCGCCGTGCGTCTGTGGAGGGAAGAGTCCGTCGTGCGTCTGTGGAGGGAAGAGTCCGCCGTGCGTCTCTGGAGGGAAGAGTCCGCCGTGGGTCTGTGGAGGGAAGGGTCCCCCGTGCGTCTGTGGAGGGAAGAGTCCGCCGTGCGTCTCTGGAGGGAAGGGTCCGCCGTGCGTCTCTGGAGGGAAGGGTCCGCCGTGCGTCTGTGGAGGGAAGAGTCCGCCGTGCGTCTGTGGAGGGAAGGGTCCGGCGTGCGTCTGTGGAGGGAAGAGTCCGCCGTGCGTCTGTGGAGGGAAGAGTCCGCCGTGCGTCTGTGGAGGGAAGAGTCCGCCGTGCGTCTGTGGAGGGAAGGGACCGCCGTGCGTCTGTGGAGGGAAGAGTCCGCCGTGCGTCTGTGGAGGGAAGAGTCCGCCGTGCGTCTGTGGAGGGAAGGGTCTGCCGTGCCTCTGTAGAGGAAAGAGTCCGCCGTTAGTCTGTAAAGGGAAGGGTCCGACGTGCGTCTGTGGAGGGAAGAGTCCGCCGTGCGTCTGTAGAGGGAAGGGTCCGCCGTGCGTCTGTGGAGGGAAGAGTCCGCCGTGCGTCTGTGGAGGGAAGAGTCCGCCGTGCATCTGTGGAGGGAAGAGTCCGCCGTGCGTCTGTGGAGGGAAGAGTCCGCCGTGCGTCTGTGGAGGGAAGGGTCCGCCGTGCGTCTGTGGAGGGAAGAGTCCGCCGTGCGTCTGTGGAGGGAAGAGTCCGCCGTGCGTCTGTGGAGGGAAGAGTCCGCCGTGCGTCTGTGGAGGGAAGAGTCCGCCGTGCGTCTGTGGAGGGAAGAGTCCGCCGTGCGTCTGTGGAGGGAAGAGTCCGCCGTGCGTCTGTGGAGGGAAGAGTCCGCCGTGCGTCTGTGGAGGGAAGAGTCCGCCGTGCGTCTGTGGAGGGAAGAGTCCGCCGTGCGTCTGTGGAGGGAAGAGTCCGCCGTGCGTCTCTGGAGGGAAGGGTCCGCCGTGCGTCTCTGGAGGGAAGGGTCCGCCGTGCGTCTGTGGAGGGAAGAGTCCGCCGTGCGTCTGTGGAGGGAAGAGTCCGCCGTGCGTCTCTGGAGGGAAGGGTCCGCCGTGCGTCTGTGGAGGGAAGAGTCCGCCGTGCGTCTGTGGAGGGAAGAGTCCGCCGTGCGTCTGTGGAGGGAAGAGTCCGCCGTGCGTCTGTGGAGGGAAGGGACCGCCGTGCGTCTGTGGAGGGAAGAGTCCGCCGTGCGTCTGTGGAGGGAAGAGTCCGCCGTGCGTCTGTGGAGGGAAGGGTCTGCCGTGCCTCTGTAGAGGGAAGAGTCCGCCGTTCGTCTGTAAAGGGAAGGGTCCGCCGTGCGTCTGTGGAGGGAAGAGTCCGCCGTGCGTCTGTAGAGGGAAGGGTCCGCCGTGCGTCTGTGGAGGGAAGAGTCCGCCGTGCGTCTGTGGAGGGAAGAGTCCGCCGTGCGTCTGTGGAGGGAAGGGTCCGCCGTGCGTCTGTGGAGGGAAGAGTCCGCCGTGCGTCTGTGGAGGGAAGAGTCCGCCGTGCGTCTGTAGAGGGAAGGGTCCGCCGTGCGTCTGTGGAGGGAAGAGTCCGCCGTGCGTCTGTGGAGGGAAGAGTCCGCCGTGCATCTGTGGAGGGAAGAGTCCGCCGTGCGTCTGTGGAGGGAAGAGTCCGCCGTGCGTCTGTGGAGGGAAGAGTCCGCCGTGTGTCTGTGGAGGGAAGAGTCCGCCGTGCGTCTGTGGAGGGAAGAGTCCGCCGTGCGTCTGTGGAGGGAAGAGTCCGCTGTGTGTCTGTGGAGGGAAGAGTCCGCCGTGCGTCTGTGGAGGGAAGAGTCCGCCGTGCGTCTGTGGAGGGAAGAGTCCGCCGTGCGTCTGTGGAGGGAAGAGTCCGCCGTGGTGTGCTAATGCTGGCTGGGGTGTGTCGCTAGGTGTATCCGTGACATCAGCAAGGTTAGTTTCTGGACTTTGACCATTTTCTTCATGTAATTTTATACCATGAGAAATGAAAATGAAATGCGCTTGATCTCATTTGATAATTTCTATTTATTTGGACTTTGATGACCAGAAAGCAAAAGATCAGATCAGAATGATCAGACATAAGCAGCTTCCCGATCTGAAACCCTGAAACACTCGAACATCTGAACTACATTCTGATCGGATGAGCCACAACTGAAGTAATTTATTTCGCTCTCACATGTAAATAACGTCGAGTTGTATGTAATATATCTCCAATATCGCGGCAGAGCGACGCCTCCACTGGGCGACTCCGCTCTACTGTCGGTCCTGATGATGGAGAAGCCAAGAGCTCCTGCTGCTCACACACCTGTTCTTCCTCTCTCTCTTCACTCATGCAGTTCACACACTCACACTCTCAAGCCTGTTAGCACACAGTGCAGCTCATTGTGTCATGATTAGCGGCCGCTAACTCGTTTATGCAGGTGTGAAGCGTGTTTGTGTTGCTGATGTGGGTCACTGGTCCCCTGGGGTAAGATGCGCCGCACAATCCTGCCGGCTGCAGTATTTATAGGGGTACAGTGCTGTTAGCGAGCGGGTCTGATGTGCTGGAGGACACACACG